GGGGGTTGCGCGGGGGGGGAGGTTTTACGTTTGCTTTTATTCTCATCACCTCACCTTCTTTTTTTCAGGGTTGGGTAGGATCTGTCACAGTGGCGGGGTACCATGAGGAGTCCCCCAGCTGTGATAAGGCTAACCTGCCTCTCTTTTTTCTCCAGTGGAACTCGTGAACAATTTGCTTGCCGTAAGCAAGTAGCCGGACTGCTACCCCCCAAAACAGAAGGGGCTGTGTTTTCTTTTTTGGAAAAAAAAAACCAAACGTTTTCGGAGTCCTTCTGGACATCCATTAAAATTGGAACGATACAGAGACGATTAGCATGACCCCTGCAGAAGGACGACACACATAAATCGAGAAATGGTCCAATTTTGTTTCTCTGGTCTTCGCAAGGAATGGCTAATTGTTGATCGTTTTTTTTTTTTTTTTTTTTTTTTTTTTGAAAAACAGAACCTTCCGGTTCTGGATCCTTTCCATTCTGGGGAGCATCAGTCCGGCTCCTACCCAATGTATTATTTTCTGAGTTGTTGATTGTGTTTCTTGATTATAGACTAGGAAAATATAATAAATATTTAAAAAAAAATAAAAAAATAATTTAAAAACATATTCCGTCATGCTGTTCAAAAGCTTTTTCTAATATGTTTCGTATGTACAGGAGAACTTGTTGTCCCTTTATTTATTTATTTATTTAATTGTTGTCCGGATTTGTTCGTCAACGGAAATGAGAATTGAAAATCGCCAAAGTTTTAGGCACATGAAATTTTGCACACCCCCTCGGTACCCCCTTGGGGCTGGTAGGCCGAGCCTTTCAGCAGCCTCTGTGGATGCTGGCGAAGGCTTTTCTCTAGCCAGCCGAGAGAAGGGTGATTTAAAAATTACCAGTCCTCTTTTTCCTGATCTGGATTTCTGCTGCACTACGAAAAAAAATTAACCAGCATGGGTGTGAAATCGAGTCTTTTGCCTTGGCGCCGCCAGCTTCTTCCCGTCGGCACGCTGAACACCTGAGGACGCGGCTTGCTAACAGCTGCGTTGGAACAAAACGGCTGACCAAGAGACTGGTGGTTCACATTGAAATTCTTTGCCAATTGAAAAAGAATTTTTTTTTTTTTTTTTTCCAGACTTGCTGAAGAGTTTCTGATGTGTAGCTAACGTCGGTCTACATTTTGGACTATCTATGCTGGCAGGATAATCATTCTGTGCCGCCGAATTTTCGGCGCATCTTGGCGTCTCGATTGAGGTCCCTTACCGAAGAGGGTAAATTAATTAAGGTATGTATGTGGCTGCACTATGTGACCCTGTGCACTGCACTCTTTGTTGGTTCCATCCTTTCCTCTTGTCTTATTAGGGGCAGGCCCTGCTGGTGCTATGTTCATACCACCATCTGCACTATGTGACCCTGTGCACTGCACTCTTTGTTGGTTCCGTCCTTTCCTCGTCTTATTAGGGGCAGGCCCTGCTGGTGCTATGTTCATACCACCATCTTCACTGGAATAGTGGAATAGAACGGCTGGTCATTATAGCTGTATTTGGGCACAACTTTCCGTCTAGATACAGCGATAATGACAGGCCGTTGAAGATGGTGGGAAAGCATGAACTTGGCCATTTCCTTGGCCTGGTGCATGCTTTCCAAGCATGTTCAGAGCGCCAATGGGGCCTTCGGTCATTATGGCTATATTTGGGCCAACTTTTCCATCTAGATACGGCGATAATGACCGGGCGTTCTATTCGGGTGAAGACAGTAGGAAAAAGCATGGACCTGGCCGTTTCCTCGGCCTGGTGTGTGCTTTCCAAGTGTGAATATAGCACCAATCTGGCCTTCCCGTTGCCTTTCCAGCTACTGTGTCGTGGGAGTTGCAGCTCTTTTATGGATTGTCCAGCTGGTTTTGCACCCATCAACTGCCTCTCAGTATGGGTCCTTGACATCCTCTCTCTTTTTTTTTTTTTTTTTTTCTTTTTTTTTTTTTTATAGAAGCGGTTTACCTCGCTAACATTGTCCCTAGCATTGTGGTACTGTGGCGGGATTTGAACCATGGTTGCCAACCGGACGTCCGGATCCCGATCCAGACAGTCCGGTGTCCGGTGTTGGTTTGGAGGGTCTGGTTGGACCCTCATTTCAAGAAATTTGAATTTTTTTTTGGGGGGTCCCCAGGCCTTTTTCCTGGGCCTTGGGTACCCCAGAAAATTGTTGCTGTAGTTTTTTGTCGACCGTCACCCCAACCGGACCGGCCCTGAAGGGCCCGCCGTTGGAGAACTTTGCAGGGCAGTAGCAGCCGGATTATCCTGGTGTTGGTTTCCCACCGGCGGGAGTACCCCATTTTCAAACGAAGTGCCTTGTGCAGCAGCGCTCCCTCTGGTGTGACAGCGCTCTCCTCGAAGTTCCCGCCCGCTGCAGCCATGCCATCGCCAGCTCGAGCTGGCATTTTTTTAATTTTTTTTTTTTCTCGTTTGACTGGTGCTGCCAGACTTCTTGGTCTGGTGGCACCCAGCCTCCGAAGAATGCGGTGTATGTTTTTTTGGCGTTCCCTGTGAAAGGTAGTGGCATGAATGGTTAACTGCCGTGTCAGAACAAAATAGCTGGGAAAGGGACTGGTGGTTGAACCCACCGCGGCCACGGGCCCTGTTTTTGCCGAGTCAGAAAAGTACTGTGCGCCAAGCTTTGCCGGAGCGTTAGTGCGATCTTTTTTTTTTTTTTTTTTTTTTTTTGCGCCAGCCATTTTGGTCCGGTTGCGCCCAGCCTCCAAAGAATGCTGGGTATGTTTTTTTGGTGTTTGCCTGTGAAAGGTAGTGGCTCGGCTCTCCGTGTGGGAACAAAAATAGCTGGGAAAGGTACTGGTGGTTTAACCCACCACTACCTCCGGGCCTCTTTTTGCCGAGTCAGAGAAGTACTGTGCACCAAGCTTTGCTGAAGCGTTAGTGCATTTTTTTTTTTTTTTTTTTGACTGGCTCCGCCAGCCATTTTGGTCTGGTGGGGCCCAGCCCCCGGAGAATGCAGTGTATGTTTTTGTGGTGTTTCTAGTTTGCCTGTTGATCGGTCGTCGTGGTTTCGGGCTACGTGGTGCGAGCTTTTCAACGTCATCTACTGAATTGCGTTTTCGACTTTTCAGTCCTTTTCTTTGGTGTGCGCATCGGGTTTCTCCAATCGGTTGACGAAATTAGGAGGTGGTTTCCGTACGCGGAAGGTGCTTGCCGAGATCGCTATTTACATCAGCATCAAAACTGCCCGCCTGTCCTTCTTCATCTGGCGGCAGCACATCATTCGTTGTACTCACCGCACGAGGACCGGTGTGCATGCATCTGACTGTAATTACGATCCACCGTGGGCGCATCTGACCGCAATCAGGTCCAGAGCTGAGTAGAAAAGGTCCTAGCGTGAGTATGTCGTCAGTCTTTGACGTAGTATGTGTGCCAGTGAAAGTGCATAGTACTGCATAGGGGTGGGGGGGTTGGTAACCTGCAACATTACTGATCAACTGGCTTCCGTCTCTGCGCAAACCTTTTCGCTGTGATTCAAACTCTTTTGTTTGCTGTGATCAGCAACAACGATTCAAGATGTACAGCAGGGTTGCATAGCTTCTGACCGCCGACCCAGACCGCCGACCGTTTTGCAGCCGGCCAGTAGGGCTGACCGGTCGGCGGTCTGCCGACCAGTCAGAAAACAGCCATCCACTGATTTTTTTTCAAATCTGAGTTGGGGGCTGTACTCAGCCCAAGTCCGCTGAGAAACTTTCGGGGATTGGG